GTAGATGTTTCTTACAAACCTTATTAGGTTTCAAAAGTTTTTGTTAACCATGTTGATTTATATATGTTTTCTGGTTAATTTGGGCAGCTTTACTGTATGTCAGTCTAACAGTATTTTGAGTTCAGTGATGCTGAAATTCAATACAATTGGCTTGCTGGATTGATTTGTGGAAAGTCACTGATTCAATCCATTATTGTGTGGGAGAGAAATGGTCAAATGGGATGAACCTGGAAAACTTTGTTGTTCTTTTGCTTTTGCCTTATCTCCTTGGGAGCATGGCAATACAAGGTCTGTTACTTATTCATGGTCTGGCATTGATGAGTCATGACAAATTGGAGTATTTAGCTCTTGTGGTTATAAACATCCATTTAAAACCAAAGCATTTTTCTAAATTGTATGGGTATCATGTGGTAGATTATAAGTGAACAAAGCAATGCCAGATAACATGACTTCTGTGTAGGTTGTTATGTCCTTTAAGTTGATAACTGTAATTAGAACAGCCATACAGATTATATACATCTGTAGATGATGTAATATTGGTGGTCTTAAAATTGTATTACTAAAGAAAACGTCCAATGTCAATTCATGCTTTTTACAACAGTCATGTAAATCCCAGTTTAACAAAGAGCTACGTAGTATAATTGTCAAATAAAAGTATATTTATGCATTTTTATTAATGACAAAATTAATCTTAAAACAATTTTTCCAATGTAGTATTTCATATATAAGCTTTTGTTGTTTCACTTTAATCTCCTAGACATCTCATTACACACTTAATGTTCCATTGTGTTTTCTAAGGAACCAGTTTGTTAGGATTAAAATTTTGGAGCTACTGGAGGAAATAATTTTCATCTCAACACTGACGTTCAATATTAGAAACAAAACAAACTGTTAATCATGAAATAAATGTTTTCCCTCTCAAAAAATTATAATTTGTCAAACTCCATGTAAATGATTGCAGAAAAAGTAGTAGCAATACATTTGTCAAAAAGAAAGTTAAGTTGAAAAGGTTAAAATCTCTTTAAACATCTGCCTTTGAAATAAGTAAGAGCCAAAGCCAGGACTAGCACCATCTGCGTTGTTGACGGGATAACCCCATGCTTATAAGAGCTGCTAAAAATGACACAATAAGTACGTATTCGATCTGACCGCTGTGTGTTTATTCTTAGTCTTCTGCACCCAAGGGCATCCTAGTCTCTAAGTGACAACATTTATGTTTCCTAAGCATTAGCCTCTTATGATACAAGTTATTTTTTCTGCACCCCAGGGCCTCAGTGAAAACATGATTCTGAAGCTTTTATTATTTTTGCTGAACTAACAAAGCAGAAACCCATGTGGAGTAGCCTGAACATTGCAGGACTGAACTCAAGCCTCTTACTTGCTTGCTAGGCCTTTGTCAGTCTCTCTGTTACTTGGCTGCTTCATGGCTTCAGAAATGAAGCTTGCTCAGCATAGTGCTGCTTTGCCCTCCCCTCCTGGTCTTCTGATTTGGAGTTGCCCACTTGCTACCCTTACATGAGAGGCCAGGCTCTAGGGCAAGTGGGAAGTTTATTATTAATATACTGGGATTTTGAGATAGTACTAGCAGGAAAAAGACACTTTGGCCAATGAGGAACAGAAGAATTATCTGCCTAATTTAAATTTGCCAAGATACAAATAAGTTAGAAAAGTAATGCCTTGGATCAAAAGAAGAGATCAAGAAAGAGTACAGAGGCAAGACCCAAAAACTCCCATCTTTTCTAGTATTCTTATTCTTTGTGCTTAAATCAAGTTAATTTTAAGGGACCCTAGCTGAAAATTCAGAAGTTATATTTCAACCAATCTCATCTATCTATCCATCTATACTTAAATTATCAGAGTGCTATAATAGCATTGTTATTAAGTACAAGGAAATTAAAATAATCTTACTATCATTCTCTGTTTAAGGCAAGGAGAAACTTTGTATCATTAAAATATTTAAAATAGCAGATCCATACCTGAACAAAGCTCAACAGCGATCCGAGTTTATTTGAAAGGCAGAGAGAGGGGGTGTTCCTTTCACTCCCCCAAATGACTGCAACCACCTGAAACTTCATCCACATTTCCCATGTTGGGGCAGAGACCTAAATGTTTGTCCTCAGCCTTGTCAGTTAGCTCTGAGTTTGGGTAATAAATTAGGTCATAGGAAAAAACCCTCAAGCCCAAGAACAATGAAAGACAAATATGCCCAGTACCAGATTCTTATGAGAGCTGACTGATGGACACTCAATTTATGTATTATGACTGCTAAACACATCTTTTAAGTCAAGTCCTGCTAACCCTAAGGTTCTTTAAGAAACATTTTTCTTTAAATCAACTCCTGCAGGAGTTGCAAGGTAAGCTTGGGAATACACAAGGCAGCACTATTTTAGTTGTATCTCCCAGTTCTGAATCAAGTTGCTAAGTTCATTCTGTGAGAATGCATACATTTCTGGGGATTCATGCCCCTTGCACTCACAGTGCTGGATTCAGTCACTTGGGAGAAGTAAGAAGTTTTCAGTCTGTAAGAGGAGAGTGATGGGACTTATGTTTTCTTGAATTCACTCAAGATAGGACAGATCCATTTGCTTCAGTTAATCAGTCACTTTTCCTAAACTGATTAGATTTTACTTTTTGTGGCATCCAGGAAGCTGACTTTTGTGACTTCAGAACAGCAGCTTTTAGTAGTTATGCATCTCAGTTATATAAAGCAGCTCCACGTACTGCGCATGGTCCTTGTTTTCATATACTTTGTAGTCTTGCTCATGCTTACTCAATTTCAGTTGGCGTCGAAAACACATGAACCTCAGACAAAAAAGCAGCTCTAGGTAATGCTGTTAGATGTGCATAGCACCTGACCCTCTGGGATTCAAATCCCTCACAGTAACCGTCAATCAATAATAAACTCTTCACAGGAAATATGATTTTATGTCATTTTTAAGATACAAAAGTCACCTCTTGATGGCTTTAACTTTTGTTTTCTGCATTAAAAGTCAAAATTAGAATGGAGGGAAACTTTTTCTTACACTTTCATCTATCACATATACATACTCAATTTGCTTCCTTTTGACTAAGAAAACTATTTGTTGAGTATACACTATGTGCTGTAAGTTGTACAGCATGCAAAATATAGTAAATAAATGAGCTGTTTCCCCCTGCTCTTAGAGTTAGCAGTCTGGGATGGAGCACATCGTCCCTCAAGATAATGGATGCTGGACACTGTACAGTGAGTGCCCTCAGAGATTCAGTTGTTTTAAGCAAACATGACCACTGGGTCACACATCCAGTTATGTACCTCTTGTTATTTCACTGTTGACTGAGCTTAGTGACAATGTGCACAGGAATAGCTTAAACACTTAAGCTTGTTTTACTTACCCCTTCCCATTCAGCCACTTAACCAAGTCCTCTCCTTCTGCCTCTTCACTAAGGAGTGAGGAGGAATTATGAAATCCATACCACAAGTTTCACCAACCCCCTGATCCTGCCAGATTCTGTCATCTGACTCATTAGCAATGGGTAGAAATGGAGAAAGATCTTAGAAGCCTTTGGTCCAGGATGGACCTCTTTCTATCTCTGTGTCCCAACAGTCTGGACAGTGATCTAAGCTGGGCCTCACTCCGCTGGATGATGCACTGATGCTCATCAAGTTTAGCAGAAGTCCTTATTATCACCAGCCATTTGGCTCTCTTCCAACCAGTGAGTTACTACAAAAAACAGAGACTCTGCCTTATGTCATAGCAAAAATGCATTTTGTATTTGAGGATCCAGCGACATTGCTAAAGGCCATCAATACAATGACAGCCATCTAAAAAAGCAATCTCATTCCCCCTGGCTTCAATTGATAGTGGTAGGGTCACTGAGGAAATCCTGTTGCAACTCCTGTGGGTACTAAACTGCAGATGATCAAAACCCATGGAAAATTTCCATGCCTCAATGTTGCATCGCCTTCTCTCGTGGCAGAGTTTTAGAGTGGACATATTGATCACAGGTTTTTCCTATCAAAGAGTGAAGATGTTGTATTACGTTTACCACCTCCATTTAGCACCAAGACCAGAACAAACATAGAACAGTGTGGGACCTCGATCCATGGCCTCTGGAAAATTTAGAGTCAACTATCATTGCAGTAGATCAGAGAAGGCTCTCCTGTGTAATTGGTTTAGTGCCTAATTCCAACCATGTCCTTTTTAGGAGTATCTAGTCTTTAAAGATGAGTGGGAAATATGGGAAACTTTGTCATGAAGTGGCTGCTAACATCTGTTACCTGACGGTGTTATCTAAGCAAAAGTCTAACACGTAGCACTCCTCCTATTCCTTTGGAGTTTGGGATTGAGTCGAAGGAGAGATTGACTTGTGGAATATGCAACACCAATGAGAAGAAATAGCATACTGCAGTAGTTAAGTTTCATCCAAGACTGCTGAGATGAGAGTATTTGGGATGAAAATGCAAAATCATGTATTTCCAGTGACTTAGTCCCATTTTCATCTTTCCCTTTCCCTACCTCTTCCAGTGGAACAATCAAGTGATTTAATAATCTGCACAATGATTTTGCCTGAGATACACTTATTTTAGATACCTTTGGAATGTTTCTGGGCCAGGTAGTAGCAAGAATTCTGAGAGAGAAGAACATTACTTTTACGTTATTTGGGTTTTCATGAATCTGGTTTGTCCCAATCCTACCGAGCCCTGGAGCAAGTTGACTAGATTTTGGAGCCATAGAGGTCTCAGCTACAAAATAGAGTGGTTTCATATCCACATGGCATGATCCAAGTAATTCATTGCCTAGTTTAGAACCATTGGTTAAGATTTCAAGCATGCCTGTGTTTAAAGTTCTGTGCTGAGATTTTGTGTGTTGAAAGGGTTATAAGATAGCAGCCACCAGGATTGAATTGTTTAGTTAATATCACCCCCTTTTTTGTCCCCCAGAGTTTCTTAGATGTGAAGGGTGGAGTTGGGGGGGAAAGGCAGCATTGACAGTTTTCTTTTTCTTTTTCTTTTTTTTCAGATTCGGAAGAGTAAAACAGACCTCAAATACAATAAAAGAGGCTGCCCATGCCTCCCATCATTTTAGCTGAGCTGCTTCATTCTCCCTCTTCCACAAAGACCTGTTTCTGGGGAAGGTGTGCAACTTTCAAAAGGAAGCTCTCCCCTGCCCCACCCCTGACACTTGGCCTTCTCTCATGGGTCTCCTCCAACGGGATGACTCTGGGAGTTGGTTTAAGATCTGAGAACTACTGGGGATTTTCCCCCAAGCAAACAAGCCAACTTGAGATTTTTGCACAGAGGTACAACATGAAGGGACTTCCTCAAACTCCTTGGCTGGTGACCTGGCTTTCAAGGCACCTGTCTGGCCTGGTGAGAATGGACATCCTGGATGCGCTGAGGCCTGGAAAGCCACAGAAACTGCCATTTTATTACTGTCAATGCCATTACTTTAAGGGTTCTTACCCTGGCTACTGGTGATGGATACAGCCATACCAGCCATCATCACAGCTAAGATACTCAATTTCTGGTTCTTTTCCTGAATCAGGACCATTTATTTTCTTCAATTTCTTTTCAGATGTGAGCATTGTTTTTGTGCTTTTTTTCTCCATTTGTATAATATGTAATTCTGTGTTGTTTTTTAAAGAAATGATCCTACAGAAGTCTTTGATGTTTCTCTGTGCATTCATATTAATGATCATAACCGTTCAGGGAAGAACTCCATTGTTTTCACTGAGTAGCATCCGTAGCCAAGTGGTGACTAAAGTTAGGACCACTGGCTGTTCCTTTTCTGATGGATTAGCTGTGGATTAACTCCATCATTTAAGTGCTAAGGGAACTGGTTCCAGGGAGATATTACAGGCATTTCATGTAGAGCAATCATTAAATAAGAGTAGTAGGGGCTGTATTGCTATTCTTTCAAAACCTGAAACCAAATTAAACCAAGTTAAAAGTGATTTCCGATGGAATGTAAGATAAGGTCGACTATGAGTCTACATAGCTTGATCAAAATGATTCTCAAAGTGGATATGGGCCACCAAGGTGTCTGAGTTCTCCCCCAGAGTAAATCACATGATCTGTTAGGCTGAAGTGGGATTGATACTAGGGAGGAAGTCAGCAGGAGTGAATTCCCCATTACAGATTTAACTTCTAGAATAAAAACAAAGTTCTCAATAGTGGTGTTTATGATGAAAGAGTTATGTGGCCTATAAGGCCTTTGAGTGTACTGGACTATTCCTCAAAGTTGTATAAACTGCACAGTAGTGTCCTGGTTATTGAGCAGATTTCTTTGATCATCTCTATACTTTGCCTTGCCTATAATTAATGTGGTTACAAGTTCACATGACATCAGGAGCCTAGCATGTCAAGTAAATAAGTAAAACCATACATAATGTCACTAATGTGAGACGTAGCAGTTTGATGTAGGCTTTAATATTAGTCTGTGAGGAATTGGAAAATGGGAGCAGTCTAAAGAGGGAGCAAACTGCTGGGTTTATGCTTTGTAGAAATTGGGGGAGGGTTCTAGATACTTACGATTTTATGTAAATTCTCTTAAGTTTTTATGTATTGATAACCAAACATACACATTTGATTTGACCAACACAGTGTCTGTGAGCTACCTTCAGTCCATGAAACATCAGTCTGAGGACTTTAGAAGCAGTAGGGTTCTGTAAGAAGTCAGTATAACCAAGTATAGGTCAATTCCTTACCTTGGAAAAGACCTTTTACCTCATTTCTAATCTGTATTTTTGTACCTGGAGTTTCTTGGCCAAAATTGAGTCTATTGCTTCTGTTTTATAATCTACCAGCAACTTTAAAGATGTTTAAAAGAAACAGGAATACAGCCATTTTTCTAGCACCAATACGTGGAAATAGTTTTCCTTTACTTTCAGTCCTTAATTAGTCCAAACAGAATGGGAAGAGAATTCCACTCAGTACAGAAAGTCACCTAAGATGACTCAGTAAGAAATGAAAGTTCCAAGTCACCCACTCTTAAGCTTTAAATTCTTAAAATGTGTTGCAAGGGGTATCCAGTAACAAATGCAATAAAGTGTATTAAGGTATGAATTCATAGTGAGGCTAATAAAACTATTCGATTTTTCATTGGTCAGTATGACCTGGAAGAAGACTCGTAAAGCTCCAGCTCATTTTTTGCAGTCTTCATTCTTTTGGAATAGGTTTTTCCCATTTGAGTAGCAGCAAAGGACACACATTACTCGATTGCACCAGCAGTGGGTTTTTATACACTCCATGTTAAGAATGGACTCAAAATGTGAAGAACAAGATTTTCCACATACAAGATCCCAAAGTGACATCAGTCCTTGAGTTTGAGTCCCCATGCCACTAAATAGCTCTATTCAGCTTTATCGTTGAAATCCATGTTTTACTTGTTATTCATTACAACTTTTTTTAGATTCTGAACCCAAATAATTTATGGTAACACCTCAAGTTCAAATGGGCTTTTTTCTGCTGTCCATTTTAACCTTGTAACTTTTAAAAATTATCAAAAAAACAATCCCATTATAGAGCTTGCATCTTTAAACCATGAAATGATATCTAAACATGTGAAAGCCTAGTTATCTAGTGTGTGTGTTTCCCTTGAGAATTGAAGCCAGCATACTCTCCACCTGGATATGTAATTTTGGTCACTGACAATGAAGTTCAGAGTAGCATATATCATGGGATACAAACGAGCAGTCATTGAAGAGTCATTTTATAAACCCCATTTGGGGAAATCAAGTCTTCGTATTCTCTCTGATCACTCTTCTTTAGCTAGATTAGGTAGACACGAAGTCTTAAGTGGATCGAAGTTGTGATATGCTTCTAATTTTAACTGTTGAGCAGAGACTTCTATGACAGAAGTTACTTCATAACATTCCCTATGCAGTAATTGAGAAATGAAAGTGGAAAAAGGAACAAGATATTTTCTTGTGATCTAGGGAAGATTCTGGAATTGGAAGTCTAAGCATACGGTCCTATCTCAAAGGAGACAGGGACTTCAGGCCCACATCTCCCTTCCCCCAGCCCCAGCCCAACCGGAACCCTTTCTCTTTACTTAGTGCCACACTCCTGACATGAGTTGCAGAACTGGCCCACAGCCAGTCTTCAGAAAGTACAAGCAGAGTTGTCAAAAGGAACATCGCTTCTCTGACAAAGGCAAACAAAACTCCCATTGTATCTGAAAAAGTATTTACCATCTCCCGCTTGGCAAGCACCATCACTTGATAAGGCTTAAAAATGCATACATTCAGACCCTTACCACAAAAATAGTTCACTATAGGAGATAGGAAATCGCAGGTAACTTGGCAGACAAGTGTTCATAGCGAAGTTAAATTCTCCATCTTTAAGGAAATAACAAACAGTCAGGATTTGTGTGAAAATGTGCTGCCAAAAGGGACAATGACATCAGAGTATGTGTTGCACCAGTGCAATTACAAACCATGTTGTAGCTTTTAAAACACAAGTTCTGTTGGACCAAATAGGAAATCTGTATATATGCAGTGTACAGGAACACTGCCCAACTCTGCACTCAGGCTGATATGGCACTAAATGCCAGCCAGACTGAATATTAAAGGATGTGGTGTTGCCATAATAATGCTATATTGATCATTATTTGTGAATAAATGGAAAATGGAACTTGTACCTCATCAGCAGTGACTCATGCTGAAAGACTTCATTATCACCTAGAAAATGAATTTGACGAACACACACTAATGAGCAGTGACATTTTACCTGTGAAACAGCCCCCAGGAACCAAAGGGCTTATCACCTGCCAAGGCTGCATTTTTAAGGTTTACAGATTGAAGACACTGATTGACGTGGAGGAGACCCTGGAACACAGGCATCTCCGTCAGCTAGTTTGTCTCATAAGTGAGCTTGGACCCAGAGTGGTTGGAAGAATGGAAAGGAGGCACCTGTGGGTTCTCAGTGAATGTTTGTAAACCTGAGTGCTCCTCAGGGAAAGCAGCAAAGAGTTCACGTTACTCAAGAACTGAAGTACAGTTGCAGACCTGGACTGGAAAGATCCAATTAGACATTACATCTTAGTTCTTAAATAATCACCGTACCCTACTCTTTAAAAATATTGGCCACCACACTTGAGATAAGTTTATGTTCACTTTGGCTGCTGTTCTCAAGCAGAAGGGAATTAGCACTGGAAATGTGGGCTTCTTGCCACAAACCTGGACCCACCCTAGGTTGCCAGGGGGAGCAAGGCACTTGTTCAGTCTCCCTTAGGGAAACCTTGCCCCTTCCAGTGTAACTATCAATTACATCAGACCAAACTCTGCAGCCCCATCTTCTCAGCTTTGGTCAGCTTCATGCCTGACTCTGGAATCTTATCCAAGCCTTCTTCTGTACTGAGCAACACATTTGAGCTAAAGTTCATTAAAAATCTAACTAATATGGAATAGTTTAAGGAGGTTACCCTCCAGGCTTCTCTGTTTCAGAGTAGGGATTGGTGTACCTGCTTAGAAGGTGAGGATGGCTGTATATATATGTTGCCATAGAAATAGTCACACTGATGTACACCAATTCCTAGTGAAATTACAGGCATAAATGTTGTCTGGTAGCCGATTCTAGAAAGAACTACACTTTTCATGATATTTTTATACATTTTTATATGCTGTAAGATGAATATATTTGCTAGTTCATTTGTAGAGCTCAGACTTTTATCTGTTCTTGTAACCACTGTATCCGCGCTAGCTAGCTGAAGCAACCTTTCCCGTTTCATACCTTTGACTTTCCCTAGCTTCTCTTTTCCATTTTTTCTACCCTGCATGACTCTTTCTTTTGCCTCTGTCTAGATAAGCCATTCTGCTTGCAATAAAATATCAGCACATAGAAACACAAAATAGGGTAAGTAAAGGAGGCCTAACCCAGTGTAATCCACATGGGAAAGTGCTGAGTGCCAAGAATGGGATGTCAGGGTTGAGGCAAGGTGGAGGACTTGAACTGTGAGGAAATAAAAATGTAAACCTTTGTAGACCAGTGACCCAAGGCAAAGTGAATCTGAGGCTAATATAGGTCACTGTCTTCCTTTAGTGTGAGCAAGGATGCTATGCCCTTGTGAGTCTATGGAGACTGGCTACTAATAAGGGCATGCTCACTCAGCTCATCTCCTCAGCCTTAGGTTGTGCTGGTCAGTGGATGGGAAACGTCTGAATGTTTACCAACATTCAAAAGAGGGAAGCGAGCAAAATCAAAACTCCAAACCACAACTCCAAAGAAGGAAAAAGGAATGTCGATGTGTTCTGAGAGTGTGCTCCCCAAGAAAAGAGTGAACTGGACTTTATTTTAGTGCCGTGGTAGAATGTGTTTGCAGACTGTGGAATGTGTGTGCGTCTGCTAGGTAAAATGAGGTGCGATTTGTATTTGTACATTGGAGGGGGAGAGAATGACCATTCATTAACAAAAAGCATTGTTTCCTACAATTCTGCTGTGCATTAGAATAACCAATTTAAATGCCATAGCATCAGATCTCCAAATGCAAACAAACCCCAGGGATTCACTTGGAACAGTGTGTTAAACTGCTCTCAAAAAGTGTTTATTGTAATCTTGACTGCACAAAAGAACCTACATGTCCTTTACTGTATAATTTCTCCCCAACACCTGGTAATGAA